TCTCTCTCTCTCTCTCTCTCTCGAACTGAACTTTACAATCACAACCGCAGTTACAACTAAAACACCCCAGGAACATGATCACACAAACCAGGCAATCCTCATGGAATTAAAAAAATACCACTATTATTTGTCAACCAAAAAAAAAAAAGAGTAAAGAAAAAGAAAATACTAATATCCAAAAACAGTATCTAATTTTCAGGCGACCCAAGCTTAAGGGAACCACTTCTCAAGAAAAGTGGACTGGTAAGAAAGCATGACTAGAAGCAATACAATGAAGGCCATCACACCCCAAGGAGAACTACCTTCACTCTGTTGAGCACTCCGATACGTCTGTCTCCTATCTGATGAGAAAAAAATCCCTTGGCCATGGTTTTCGAGAGACGAGAGCCAACGAACCGCGAGCAAGAGAAGGATAGGGCACAAAGCCAAGGCTAAGCTCGCCTGCTCGACCGCACTTTCATAGACCGCCTCGAATGAGAGCCACGATGAGAACCCCAAGAAGAGCAACGCAAGTGAGACTATGAAGAGAACCGGGTAAGGAAGGGGGGAGAGGGTGAGAAAGGAGGAATTGTGTGTCGTGGCCATTAGAACTTGATAGGATTAGGCATTCTTGTTGGGACCTCAAATAAATACATCCTTGCTTGTTTTTTCATATCGGTTTTTTGTAATTTGGGGGTTTGGCTTCTTTTGTTGTCCAAGTATAAAGGCTTGAATTTAGGAAATGAGAAAAGATTTGGAAAGGAAAAATCAAAAGATTTGGAAGCGTATCTTGGGGTAATTGTAGAAATGCCGCCTTTTGCCATTTAAATAAAATATCATAACTAGCCCCCGTCTTTTCGGAAGCATACTATATATTTACTCCGTCGGGCAAAACACTTGCTTGGGAGTATTTTTTTAGTTGCAATTTTGGGATCCATCGAACTATAAGTAGATGATTTTTTCTAAAGAAAAAAATTGGATTTTTTTAAATTTTTTAAAATTCTTTTTTATTTTTTTTTATCAAGGTTCATTGGCGGGTTATGAAGACGAAACTCCAACATTTGGGATCCAAAAGATATTCCGAGTTTTGTCTGAGGGAGTAGATGGACAGTATATTCCTACGGGAGTAGAAACCTTTTTTGCTTTGTTGATTGGCATAGATAAGAAAGGAAGGTATTTTGAGGTGATGTGAGCCTGGTTTGATTCTTTAGGAAAGGATTTAAAAGTAGTGGGCGGTATTTAGGAAAAAATTGGTGGATGTGGTTTGGCCATGCGTGCAAAATGACAATGATAAAAATATATAAATAAAAAGGTGCAGATTGAGGAGGTCCCGAGCCTCAATTATTTTAGAACCCAAAGTAATGCTTGTCACATTAAATCGAATGATTTTTATGTAAGAGTTGGTATATGTTCACATCTCAAGCAATTCAATGGCCTAGGCCCAAAGCAAGTGCTATCTTGCACGTTTTAGGGGACTCAATTTCCTGGATCGATATCATTATATATGAACATTAGAAAAATCGCTGATCCGATTTCGAATTTCTTTGGTTAGATCTGGATTGAAGGAAGATTATTTAAGACGGAAAATCCCTAGAATCGCCTACCTTTTGTTTCTTAATATATTTTAATTTCTTTATAAATTGAACTCTGATTTGAGGAAAGTCCTTTTAGCCCATCCGATTCCAGTGTGAATGTGTGCGTGAGAATGAGTCTAAATTTTTTTAATTGATGGATTTTAAGGATTAGTAATGATGTGTCATTGGATAATACAACTTTCTCTTTTAAAATGAAAGTAGTGGCAAAGGAGGGATTTGTGGTTGACATTTGTTCTTACTTCCTCCTCCTTTTATATAAATTTTAAACAATTTCATTGCTTTCAGAAAAGGATTACAACATATTTACATGACTTGAAACCAAAAGCGAAGACAAAGAAACTCCCATCTTAGCCAACAAGTCAACCCAAAGGTTAGCTTCTTTATAAACATGCTGGAAAGAGATCGTGAGACATCTTGTTAAGTCTAGGATTTCACACCACATAAGCCTAAGGGTCCATGGAACTCTCTGCTTATTAGAACACCAATTGATGACATCCATAGAACCTCCTTCTACCACGCAGCAGGTGCCCACATTTTTGTCCTTAAATAGTTTCAAACCTTGCAACAAAGCTACATATTCTGTGAAATTAGCTGCGGCTTGACCCAAAGGCCATGAGAAACCAACTACTATTCTTCTATCGGCTTCTCTCATTACACCCCCAATACCTGTTTTTCCAGGATTCCCATAAGAACTTCTATCGAAGTACAATTTAAAAGATTCCTCCAATGGTGGTATCCATCTACCCACATGCTTATTTCTGATTACTCAAAGATGAATAAGATTGTGCAGATTTCATATTACATCTATGTGAGAAATTCCTTGACATTCTTTGGTAATACTTAACCAACTCTAATTAGAGTGTTGTAAAACATTGTTAATCACCCTTTCTACCATTAAAGTGTTGCCTTCAAAGACTCTCCTATTTCGTTATTTTCATACTTCCCATAACACTGCCCATCTCACAACTTTCTGAATAACAATGCGACTCCGAATTTCCCTGGTCAGATCTGGATTGAAGGAAGACAATTTGGGATGGAAAATCCCTAGAGTCGCCCAATTTTTTGTTTCTTAATTATTTTTTAATTTCTTTATAAATTGTAGATTACTCTGACTCGAGGAAAGTCCATTTACCCTGACCTCAACATGTGGACATCTAATTCCAGTGTGACTGTGTGTATGAGAGAGAAAGTATATAAATTAGTTTAATTGATGGGTTTTGAGGATCAGCACTGATGTGTCATTGAATAACTTAGTTTTCCCTTTTAAAAAGCAATCTGTGGGTAAGGAGGGATTCGTGGTTGAAATTGATTCTTACTTCTAAATATAAAACCAAACCAGCGTACCGTTTTCTCTTGGGTGAATAAAGCAGCTTACCGACCATAAGAAAAAGACTTAAACGTGATAAAATGATTTTTGGTTTCACATACGGGTTGGTATTGCGTCCACAAGCTGTGGAGTGTGGACACTTATAAAGGCTGAAGCATCCTTTGATGGTTCAGATTCAACCGGCCAAAAAAAAAAATCGTATTTTTTATTTTTGGATTTTATTTAAAAATAATATTGATCTGAAATTTAATTTTTTATCTGTTTTT